AATCCTTATCAGAATTCTCAATGCATTTATTTATTTATGAGACTTATATACCGCTTTAAGTGCGAGCACTCTCTAAGCGGTGTACACCAGTAAGCAATGTGTGTGTGTGTGTGTGTGTTGTGTGTGTGTGTGTGTGTATATATATATATATTATATATATATATATATATATATATATATATATATTTTACCTACCCCGGAAGGATGGAAGGCTGAGTCAACCTTGAGCCGGTGAGATTTGAACCGCTGACCTGCTGAACACAGTCAGCTAAAGTGGCCTGCAGTACTGCACTCTAACTGCTGCGCCACCTCGGCTCATTTAAATGTATAAGTGCTAAATTTCTTTAAAGCTGATGATTTGCTTAATGAAATAAACATTTTAAAGTGGCTGATATAAACACATTTGAGTTAATCTTAACCACTGAACCGTTTCTTTTGAAATTATGATCATTTGCATCAGCTTGCAAAGACTGTTTTAAGGCTAGAAGACCACTTAAGAATTCCTTAGAGGAAAGCAAGGTACAAAGGTTAAAGAGAGATAGAGATAGAGAGAGGTATGTAAAGCATACTACAAATTATTTTCTGTTAGGGAAATGTTATCAAAATATCATCTTGCAAAAAAGACATCTGCTTTCCAATAACTACAAAGATTGCTGGAAAAAGTAACTCATAATTTTGGAAGGAATATTCTTTCAGGCTGTACCTTTCACCATGGTACAGCTGCTACTTCTGTACAAGTTAGTCCCATTCAAAGATGGTAACATATTGTCAGAAGAATAATTTTATACAACTATACCACGACCATCAGTAAATAAAGGCAGGGATGGAAAGGCATTCAATCATTCATTTGACTGATATGACTGCCTATCTTATCTACAAATACCATAGCTGGCTCATGGAAAGATCAAACTATTGTCCAGCTAATGTCTGAATCAGGCCTAACATTGCTTAGGATAATGTACATAGGTAGTAGGGAATAACTAAGCTCACTGGAGTTTTCTTCCAAGTGCGACTTCTTCCAACTTACAACTTAGCACACTTTATAGTGCTAAGTGAGAAATATGTTGTGTTTTGTCCCATTTTACGACTTTTCTAGCCACAGTTGTTAAATGAATCACTGCAATTGTTAAATTAGTAACACAGTTGTTAAATGAATCTGGCTTCCCCACTGACTTTGCTTGTCAGAAGGTTGCAAATGGGGATCACATGACACCGGGACACTGCAACCGTCATTAATGTGAGTCAGCTGCCAAGCATCCGAGTGTAAATCACGTGATCACGGGGATGCTGCAATGGCCATAAGTGTGAAAAATGGTCATAGGTCATTTTTTCCCAGTACTGCTGTAACTTCGAATCGTCACTAAGTGAACTGTTCTAAGTCGAGGACTACCTTGAAAATTGAAAATTCCGGTGCTCACCTTATAGTCAACCACACTGAAAAAGTTCTCTGGAAAACCTTAAGTGGGAAATATTAACTAAGATTGAAGTTCATTCACCAGAAGTATTAACTCTGCAATAGGTAATTACAAAATGGTGTCTACTAAACATTCACATTAGTGGAACTGGAATATTTACCTAGGAAATATGTTAGAAGAAGGAAAAAGAGTCTGCCTGTGCTTACCATCAAGGAGATGGAAAATATTACTCTTAGATAAGTAATAGTTTCTCTGCCATTTCTCTGTCAACATTTATCTGAGGTTAATGCATGCGTACAGCAACCCTATGATGCTATTGAATCTGTGACGAACGTTTTGTTTCATTTAGCTTTTTGATAACCCACAGAAAGCTAACCAGATATCTTGGCAACTGAAAATTGTTCCATCCTTTTCACAGTTCATCCAGAGTGTGCTGATATAATGAAAAGAATGCCCTCCTTACCTTGATCATATTCAACTACTGCTTCCCCATCTACTTCTGTGGGGGAAGGAAAGAAGGAAAAGAAAGAGACCGATATTAGCAAGCTTTTGCTAAGCAAGAGTATTCGCCGTACCTGGGCCTGAAGAAAATATCATCTTTATTGTACAGTGGAAGTCCTGCAAATTATTATTAGGGGGGTCAGCCACATATGCACTACACAGCATGTGTTGAATGCTTGCAAAATAACTTTATCAAAATATATATATATAACAGTGATGGCGAACCTTTTATAGACCGAGTACCCAAACCGCAACCCAAAATTCACTTATTTATCACAAAGTGCCAGGGCCGCATCAGCATTGTGGTGCCCTCAGGGGGGGCATGGGGGCATGGCCCAATGGATGGGCGTGGCCCACTGGATGGGCATGGCTGCAATTGTCATGGCAGACTGGGTGGGCGTGGCTGGGGTGGGCATGGCCACCTCAATGTTGCTCATGGGGGGATGCCTGTGGGGGCCAGGCAGGGTTGGGGGAGATCCCTGGCGGGTGGGGTGGTGGGCAGGAGCCCCCCATAGATGGGAGAGGCACACAATCCTAGCTGGGACTGGGGGGCCATGGCGCTGATGGGGATCTGGCTTTTCCTGCTTGGGGTGGCCTTTGGCTTGCTGGGTGTGGGCGTGCTCTACCACCTCTACTTGAGCTTGCTAGCTGGCTGCTCTTTTGTGCTGGGTGGGGCTGCCGTTCCGGGTGGCAGCGGCACAAGCTGCTGGCAGCAGCGGCGGCGTGCTTGCCCATAGAGAGGGCTCTGAGTGCCACCACTGGCATGCGTGCCATAGGTTCACCACCACTGATATATAATATACAATCAATGAGGCTCAACTCTGGCTAAAGTTTCCTTTTTCTTCAGAAAATTCTATTCTTCAATAAACTCAGAAACAGAGTACATGGATTTAGAATTCCAGTTATAAGAAAAAAACAAAAATAATGAAGAGACTTGATTTTTAAAACAGGCTGTGTCTATATTTTTATACTATGCTCCTTTAAGCCAGTACTTAGTAAATAAAATCAATAGCCCTCTGGGTCTCTCCAAAAATTAATAGGCATAAATATGCAAAATTATTATTGGAGAAAAATAACCTGATGCCCAAGAATGAGACTGACAACTGTCACATTAGGGTGAGGCAAATCTTAAAAAAACAGTTGCAGAGGTGTTAAATCTGTTTCCTCTTCTCCAATTGCTATATAATCCATTCCATTCTAGCAACCTACATTTATAAGGTATACAAACATTTGTCTTTATTTTACCTTAAATAATATTCAACCAGAATTGAGCATTCTTGTATGTATTTTAAATTAAAATATGCATTCATTTTTATGCACATTTTTAAAGATTGTATCAGAGGGATTTACAGGGTTGGTAATGTATGGACATGAAGACCTTCGAAAGCGCAAATTGTCATTTTCATATTGTTTCCAGATGTTACAAGTTCCCTAATTGGCTCCCCGCTCCTCCAATTGAAATTGGATTCAAACAGATTTGATGTCAGGAAAGCCTAAATCAATTTGAGAGAATCTTTTCTGTCCTTGAGAGAAATGTTCTTCCCCAAAGAGCAACTTTTGGGGTGAACGTAGACTCTGTGCTATCCCAAATACTCAGATCAATGTGATAGCTAGGAGGGCTTATTACCAGATGCAGATGATGTACCATTGAGTTGCAACAGGTTCTACATGGGGACACTCTTGAAAGAAGGATAGGAAATTGCACAAAGTCCAAAATAACAGCAACAGGGCTCCATCTAGGATATCCTACTGGGAGCATTTACATCTCTTTTAGGTCAGTCACACTGATTTCCCCTTGCATTCTATGCCAAATTCAAACTGCTACTTTTGGCTAATAAATTCCTATATAGTTCAGGTCCCCTCTAGTTGAAACAGATTCCTCCTTATATTATTACCTAAATGTTTCATTCTGCAGATATGGACTTCATCAGTACAGGTGATGAAGCAGACTGCCTGGAACGAACTGGCTACAGGGCCTTTTTGGTGGCAGGTCCAATAGTGCAGAACTCCCTCTCAGAGTCAGTTTATCAGCCTTTTTTATGTTTTAAAATCTTTTCTTAATATTTGTTAGTATTCCTCCACATCATAGTTATGCTTATTTTTTCATAGTTATGCTTATTTTGCTTCCAGGTTTTAATTGTTGATGCCAAAGAATCCTAACCATTTTTAAATTGTCTCTGATATATTATTTAATGTTTCTGTTATTATTATGCTATTTCCTTGATCTCAATTGAGACATGATTGTTTGTTTGTTGTGCATTATTTTCATTTCTGGTTATTATTAGTTGGGAGACTAAGGCATATAAATTAACAAAATAAACCAGTAAATAAGTGTCCTTGCTTTATCATGCTAATTGCATTTTAATTGTGCCATAAAGAGGCCCTCAAGAAATAAAACCCAGAAAATATTAATTAGTTTGTGGGCTTCTTTGGGGATTTGTGTCATTTAGCGGTGGATCTGATAAGCTACTTTCTTCAAAGGCTTACCTTGCCCTTGGATATGTCACTAAGCAGTCAGCTACAAAACTGATTTATCTGAATATCCAGTTTAGGCATGCAGAAAGGCAGAAAATTAGCAGACCCTGTCCATGAATAACAACTAGCAGTCAGAAGACACAATGAAAACTCCTTAATCTCACAGCACATGGATAGCCCCATCCATAGTTTCAACTGGGAAACTATGTGCATCCTAGACCAAGCTAAACAAAAATCCTTGGGAATTCCTGGAAGCTTGGCATTTAGACAAATCAGCCATCAATAGACGCATAGAAATAAAGCGTATTTATACCCCATTTAAAAAGACAGTGAAAAAAGCTAAGAAGGAAACAAGAAAAATCAGAATACGTCTTCTTCAGCAGCCAACATCTAAATAAGCAGGGATGAACACCAACCAAACAGTCAAGCAGAAAACAATATCCCAATCAAGAAATACCAAGGAGAAAACCACATCCCACCAACACTTGAAAATACAAACTCCACATCCATTTGCACGGAGGTTACCAAGTTGGGCAATGAAATGTCTGCAAGCAAACAACCAAGTGCCTTATTCCTGTTACGCCAACTTTTCCATCATTTCTCACTTACCTCCTGTCTGATGCAACAAAATCTCTGCTGGATTATGAGGTTTCAGCCCCAATGCTGAAAGTGGAGTTTTAGCCAATCCTGGTGGAGAGCGCACTGTTTCATATAGACAGAAAGAGAAAGAAAAAGAGGAAAAATCAACAAACCAGAAAACTAATAGATTAGTTGGTAATAAATCCAAACACTGGTTTGTTGCTAATTACCAGGATATAGCAAAATCTAAACACGATTTTAAGAATGCAGGGGCTGCTGGAAATGCTCAATGTGGTTGTCCTTCTGAAGCCACAAGAGAACTGGCCCTCATCACTGAAATGCCTTTGGCTAAGAAACCACTTTCCTTTTGGCAAAAAGTGTATATTCTTAAGACAATTGAGATGACAATTTAGCATAACAAAAGAGCAAGAGGGTTCTTGGCATATTGGGAGTAAATATTTACTAATAACACAATCTTATCAATACTGGTTATGAGCTTTTGACAAAAGCCTCTCTCAGGCACAGCTGAGGGGCCTACTTAAATAATATCTCCTCCTCTGATAAAAACACAACCTGACATTTTGTGCTTCTACTGGCCTTTTACTCTTGGCAGAACTGGTCAAAGACACCCCAGGCTATTGTTTGTCTAATATATGTCATACATTACCATGCCTTTAACATCATGGCTGATAGAAAAAGAGACAAGAAAGGGGGGGGGGGTGTGGAAACTAACTGCTTTTGTGAATTTCTATACAATCCCAGTTTGACAAGATTTTCGACAGGGCATAACCTATACCTATCCAAAGGAATCTGCATCCCCACTTTTTAATACTATAAAAATGTTTCCATAGCAACAGCACTTAGAGTTATATACCACTTCATAGTGCTTAACAGCATTCTCTGAGCAGTTTACAAGGTCAGCATATTGCTCCCAACAATTTGGGTCCTCATTATCACTGACCTCAGAAGGAGGGAAGGCCGAGTCAACTTTGAGCCTCATCAGGAATGAACTCCGGACTGCAATACTGCATTCTCACCACTGCGCCACCATGACTCACTATTTGTATCTGACATCTTGCCTGACATCTACATATTACATTCGTTCTAATACCAAGGATATCACTGCAATGGTCTCTTCCATATTTAGCAGCGTCAAACAACAGCCCATCAACAACTTAGTCCTAGTGATAAAGAATTTAGAGCAAGGCTTTTCAACCAGTGGTACGGGTACCACCTGTGGTACATTGGCACCTAGCAGGTGGTATGCGACTATCCTAGAAAATGGTAGTGGGGAGGGGAATGAGCTGAATCCCTGGCAGCACTGCACAAGCCTGAGCGAGAGATGGCTGGAATTGTAGGGCTGTCAGGGCTCAACAGAAGTGCCAGGTTCAGCACTTCTTCAGGACTGTCAGGGCTCAGTGGAAGCACCAGGATCAGCGCCAGGCTCCAGCTGGAGCTCGGCATTGATCCTGGTGCTACTGAGCCCAGAAGAAACGCCAATCAGCTAGAATGTTGCAGCATCTCCAGGGTTTTGTGATTTACATTCAGATGCTTGGCAACTGATTCATATTTATGACGGTCACAGTGTCCCAGGGTCATGGGTAGTGACCAAAACCTGCTGCAACCACCCAGGAGATGGGGGGAATAAAAACCAAACACCTCCCATCCCACCCCCGCTGCCAATCCTCAACAGAAGTGCTCACAACAATAAAAACCTTGAACAGGAGGAAGAGTGCCGCCAGGTGGACAGCCAGATGTCTTGCTTGGCACTTTTTTCAGTGCCATTGTAACTTCGAACAGTCACTAAGCGAACTGTTGTAAGCCGAGGACTACCAGTACTTCATCACTTTTTTGCTTTTTGGGGGGGGGGTCATCATGTTTTTGACACCTTGCTAGGCGACTGGTGGTACTTGGATATTGCCATATCCTAAAAGTGGTACAATGGGTGAAAAGGTTGAAAAGCCCTGATTTAGAGTATACATTGCAAAGCAGGAATACCTAATTTTCCTGGTTTGCAATTAATTGCAATTTGCTATGCAGAAGATATCCAAAGAATGTACACATCCTCACTTTCTCTCATTTATAAAAATTCAGAATGCTTTCACTTAGCTTTCTTAAGTATCCTTCCTATTAGCAGCTGTTTAGGAATTTACAGAACGATGCAAAAGACAAAACCTATCGATTTCCAGATTACTCTTCACTTGCTTGGTATCAGCCGTAAAAAAAAAAAGCAAACATTCTTGGCAATAAATGTCCATAGCCTGCCCTTCCCATTACCAGTATGTTTGGAAAATGTCCATGAATGAATGGATGACATCATCTTATGTCAGAGTTTTGCCCAAAGGCAGATATGGCATCTGCAAAGATTATGATCATGAGACAGAGGGACCACAAACACTTCATCAAGGCATTGTATATCATAAATAGCAACATCATATACACAGCTGCAGACGTCTATATTTATAACATGTACATCAACAAAATATTTGCACAATTACATCAATGTGTATCAGATTTTATGCCTTCCCAGTCTAAAAGGAGAACAACATGTAGGCCATTCTTGCATATATACCCGTGGTAGATATGCAGCAAGGAGCAATGAAGGAAACAGATGCAGATGTATATGTGAGATGTGTTTGAAACAGCAAGTCTCACAAAAGCACTTTCCAGCCTTCAGTATTTCTTTCAGCTGCTGGTTTTATTTGGTGCTGACAATTCTAAACAATTCAGGTTTTTTCATTGAAACTCTTTTTTTAAAGATTAATTGGATGGAAGCAAACAAATGAAGACCTTTTGTCTGTTGTGGGGAGGAGAGTTTAACACATTTTTCATGACTTGCACTGCAATCATCTGACTTACGGCTTTGGATGGGTACCCACGCAGGGGCCCACAGCAGGAGGAGAAAGGAAGGTAGGCAGGCCTATTAAAGGAAAGCCAGTTACCAAGAGCTTGCATTTCATCATGGATTAGCTTGGCTGGGCTAGCATTTACTGCTTAAGGCCAATGAGCAAAGGGGAAACAAGCAAATTCACGTCCAGGATATTAGATCAACTGGGATTCTCAAACAGCGCAAATACCATTGCATTTCTGTTCTCAAACCCCATAACTCTCATGCACTTTAGTCTGCCGGTAAAGAAGACAAGTCTTCATCAAATAGTTCACAGAGGAGCCATAAATACTCATATTGAATTCTAGAGAGCTCTGGCCTGTTATTCTAAGAATAATTGAAGATGGCATATCTCTTACATAGTCATCCACAATAAAGCCTCTACAATTATAGCCTCTAATTTTCAATTCCTGGCTATGATGAGTGTGAATTTGGGGAATTTTAATCTATCATGTCTAGGGAGCACAAGGTTAGGAATGGGGAGCTAAATAACTTGAATCAGAAGGCATGTTGTCCCTAAGCATATCAAGGAAGGGATAGAGTTATAAAAGTTACAGTCTTACAGACACTTATTTGAAATTAGGTCTTAGTGAATTAATAGACATTAAGTAAAACTCCATGGGATATGGGCCACAGAAAGCAATGAATGGGTTCAGTAAAAGCTAGGTTGGCCTGATCGCATTTGTGCTCTACCAAGGATAGCAGAGAAATGTCCCTGAGAATGTCTGGAGACCCTCCAGGCACTTCTGCTCTAGCAATGGGCTGCAAGCCAGGCATATTGCACAGACCAGGCAATCTTATATTAATCTCTGTTAGTTTGGGGGACTGGCACAACATCAGAATGTATGAACTTGTAAGAATCACTCATTGTCCTGGTCAATCGTGGAAAGGAGCCATTGAAGAGAATGTCCTTATATGTCAGGATGCCAGGAAAGAAGACACCCTCCCCCATTAAATCTGGGAGATTATTCATGTACAGTAAATGCTAATATCCAGCACTTTGACATGTGAGAATACTCAAAGGCTGTTCAGAAAGAATCCAGTTATTTAAAGAAAAAGGTTGTTCTACCCCTCTGGAGTCTTTGCTCTTTCCCAGTTGCTTAGTGGCTCATTGATGTTTGTTCATGCTTAGCCATGTTAGCTCTGCCCTGATGAAATACTTGGCAGAACTGTTCAGAGCTGATGAATTTTAAAAACCCACCACCAAGTTACCAAAGATTAGTCACTCAGAACCATGCTTGTTCAGAAGAGGGAGAAAAAAGAGGGCATGCAACAGGAAGGTTCAGATCAGGTCTTCACCAACATCTTCAGCAGCTAAAGGAGATCGAATTCTGATCTGGGCTGTTATGCTTTCACTTAAAGCAGAAACAGCTACAGAATCCTTACCAGATGCGCATGGATTAAAAGAATGCACTTATTCAAGTAATTGAGCTGATCTGGTTGCAAATGCAATTACTACACTAGAGTTCATAGGGAGGCAAGGACTTGCTATAGATCAATTTGTCCATCTGGAGTTCTCTCAATCATGGAAACCTGGCTGGTGCACTAGGCACGGAGGGTCACCTCTGCTCCTAAACAACTCACAAAATTCCAGAAAATTTAAACAGTTGGCTCTAGCGAATCAGTGTGAGATGGCTCCAACGCACCATTGGAGGAATGGCAAGTCTTACAGCTGAGGTTTAACTGTTTGTGGAGATTTTCAGTCATCCACGTCATGGTTGTCCCAAGGGTGCTTTTTCAAGCGACAACTGAACTTTCTTTGTTTTGCCTTGAAGACGTTTCACTTCTTATCCAAGAAGCTTCTTCAGCTCTGACTGGTTCTGACAGTCAGAACTGGAGAAGCGAAGCGTTTTTCAAGGAAAAACAAAAAGTCCAGTTGCCTCTTGAAAAAGCACCTTTGGGACAGTTGAGGCTAACCTAACAAGACCCTCACATGTGGGGGAAGTGTCTCTATGGCAGCCTAATAGAATTTCAACAGGGGAAATAAGTATTTAATTACAGGAAATCTTGCATGCAGTTTCAACTGCTACGTGCTTACATATATCTTCAGATTAGATTTATATCTTGAATGGCACAATATGATCCAAACAGTGCATTTATCTCCTCAGTTTGGGGAGAGCTATCGAGATTATGGAATCAACACTCTTCCTAGAAATGGCTGCTGGCACTGGGGTGGAGTACCGCACATTGATGGGTTCCCCCATTCCCTTCATGACGGAAGCCTTTCATTTGTGTTTTGGAGGATTAGGAGATGCACAGTGTAATAGTTGCTCAAAAGCCATCTCCAACAAGCTGAATCACAAGCCATTGCTGATTGATATATTCAAAATGCCATGTTTTATTCTGCAAGCCCATTACATAGGACGCACTGAGGCATAGCTGTGGAATTAAAATGTGGAATTTTGAATATACGCTTTATTTTCTTATTTATAGTTGAAACTTCATGCCTTCCCACTTAATATTGTTAATTTTATGGTAAATGTCATTCTGTATATTAAATACTGTATGAACTGGCCAAGGAGGGCCTAAATACTGTGTATTTAGAAGGGATCATTTAATTCTCTTCATTTAGTCTGAAGGGCTGCCAAAGGGAAGAGGGTATTGATTTATTCTCCACAGCATCTGAGGGTAGGACAAGAAGAAATGGGTGGAAGCTTGTCTAAGATCCAAGCTGGAAATAAGGAGGATTTCTTGACATTAAGAATTATTAATCAATGGAGCAACTTGCTTCGTGGAGTTGTGGGTATTTCACTGCTAGATGATTTCAAGAAAAGATTGGGCAACCATTTATTGAACATGATATGAGGACTCCTACCTTGGGTGGGTGGGGGGTCAGACTAGAAAACCTCCAGCCCTATGGATCTATGATACAAAAAGCTAATGCAACTCATTCTATTGCTTTCTGTGAATATGCATTCCCTAACAGAGGTATATGTTACTGAGAAATCTACAGTATTTGAAACGTACATTTGGGATATGGAGACATTTTCATTTTCTCCCAGCTGCAGAGGTCAGCTGACCTCCCCTCCTCTTTCGCCCCCCCCCTCCATATTCCCAACATAATAAGAGGCTCAGAGGAAGAATTACAACTATTACCAAAAATAGGATCTACTTGCCCAAAACCGTGGATTTTTCCTCTGGGACATTCCACCACCAGACTCAGGGGTTAAGCTAATTAAGAACGGATCCCCTTTATTCTCTAATAAATGCAGTTGGGATATTATTTTTCTACCTAGAAAGACTGTTATTGACAGTGAAAGTAATATATGCAATAATTGATTTTCTGGAAGCATGTGATTTTCTAGAATCTATACACTAAAAGGAATATCCCTCAAATATAAGATCAAATTAATTTCTGTAGCCTATACATAAGAATTGTGGATTTTAAATGTCAATGAGGGATAAAAAAAATTAAACTTTTAGTTCATGATCGTGCCTGATGTGTCACAGGACAGGGAATTCTTCTCTCATAATAACAAGGATCAGAGCAAGGTTAATACATTTCCCTGTAGAATTTGTGTGTTAGGTTTCAGTGAGGAATAATATTTCCCTAGTAAGCAAGTAAACCAGCAAATGTATTTTTAAACAGGTTAATCATTTACATTTTTGTTAGAAATATCTTAGAGAAATTTGTATCTTTTATGGATTGATGATGGATGTAGGAAGACTACTGTCAGTCTTGTATGCCATCATCTTCCTGATTCTGATAATTACATATTTGCCAAAGTCAGCAGGAGCACATTTTTGATCCACATTATTAAATTATCAAAAAGATATTCATTTAAATTATTAAATTATTTGCCTTTTGTTTAAAAGAATGATTCCCTGCTCCTTCCCCAAGAATGAGAAAATATGTAATATATTGCTTCCATTACTATTACTAGCTGACCTGCTTAATTAATGATATGCAAAATTAAGTAAAACCCACCATGTGTTGTATTTTAACCCTAATGTAAAGATGCAGCAAAACAGAGCAGATCCCCAGCAGATGAGTCATTTACATAGTGACAAGTAGTGTGGAACTGCCCTATTTTAAACTATATATTTCTGGTAAATGATCTTGCACCCTTATTTGCTATGGGCAACAACAAGCAGAGGACAGATCAGAAAGAAATATGTCTTTATCACCATCTGAGAGCTGCTGGCTATATTTATACTTGCAGTACTTGCAAAACTTTGCCGTTGCGACAATTATGATGGAAGGATGCATACTTCATGGTGAATGAGAACGGTGCACCAAGCAAGCAGAGATGAAAGGGGGTGAGGAAATAGCTGAGATGGGCCAATGGATAGAAGGGAGAAAATAAGAATGTGATTAAAATGGTGGTGGGTGTCACGAAGCTGAGAACTGTTTGCCTCTAAGTATGGCTTTACCAAAACCAAATGCCAGCCTCCCTCTCCCTCCCCTTTGTCTAAGCCACAGAACTTACACAGATTGCTGTAAGGGGTTTGTGGTGAGACAGGGAAGGCAGGGGTTGGGGGAGAAGTCTCACCACCACTGGAAGGTGGGCTGCTTGGAGAGGTCCCCTGTATCTCCTCCAAAGCTTCTTTGTAGCTATGAAGATGGGGCTGTGAAAGAGAGAATGAAAATATCATTAGTTTCCAGAATGGAATAGTTTAACCTCTTTTTCATCAAAGATCTTTCACTTACTACACGTTCTTCAACTGGTAGTAAGATGGAGGGGGGGGAGAGAGAGGGAGGAAGCAAGTTGCAGCAGGTATCCCATATTTTATTTTGCTGGGAGGAGGAATAAGCATGGAAATTTTACTGCTCCAAACCAGTACAATAAATCACCAAGCTGAAGGAAGAGCCTTCCATAGGGATGGCCAAATCAATTATATACAACCTCTTCATTTTACAGATTTCAAAGCAAATGTGTGAAAAATTTGTCATCTGAATTTCTTCCAAAGTATGCATTTTTGTGGGTATGGTATTTTTATTGCCTTTCCAAGGATTTGCTAATGCTTTCGTGTATTCTTTTTTTTTTTAATCTAATAGCACAAGCAACAGCACTTAGACTTATATACAGCTTCATAGTGGTTCACAGCCCTCTCTAAGCGATTTACAGAGTCAGCATTTTGCCCCCAACAATCTGGGTCCTCATTTTACTGACCTCGGGAGGTTGGAAGGCTGAGTCATCCTTGAGCCAGTCAGGATCAAACTCCTGGCAGAGGGAATGCAGAGTTAGCCTGCAATACTGCATTCTAACCACTGCGCCACTGTGGCTCACACACCTGTAGTTGCATATCTAAAATATAACTTACTTTTTTTGTTGTTTGAGTGGCAAACTGCTTCATAATACTTTGTAAAAATGAGGATTTCAGTATACTGGACAGTTGGGTAGGTTTGTATCTAAATTCAAATCAAATACTTTTGATTTCTATCTCCCACCCAACTAATATTTGAGCGGAGTCTCCTATACCTATCTCGCTTGTTTATTCCACCTTACTGCCAAATGAAATTTTCCTTTAACACTTTGTACCTTTACCATTGTGTAAGAGGTTAAAAAGAAAATCATATTTTTAAAACATACCTCCTTAGGTCTTCCTCCAGGATTGGCAGCGATGGTGCTGACCACCTCTGGGGAGACAGAGTGAATGGGTGATCGAACGGTCGGGCTTCGTGGTGAACTGGGTTCCTGGGGACTGCTCTCGTATTGACCCTCACTGGTGGTACGTCTCCGGACAAGGGCTTCGCCTTCATCTGGTGACTTCTCCTGTGGCAGCTGCACTCCTGCAAATTCAATGATGTGAGGAAGGAAGATGCTAAGTATGGGATGAATTGTAGCACATACAGAAGATCTTGGAAAATTGGCATTCTTTAGGCTGCATCTTAGCATGGGAAAGAAAGAGGCAGTGAGAGCTAATAATTTATTAGTAAATTCACAAATTTCTCTATACTAGCAGATTATTATTATTGTGACAATTAGAATGTCATTGATTTAATTCAGATATTCTAAAAAAAAATTGGATCAGGGGTACATAAACTCTTTCACATTAAAGACACGTGGCCTCTGAGTGGCATGCCAGGCAATGCCTTCCCCAAATCAAGTGGGCTTGTGTTTATTCAGAATTATAAACACCCAATAAACACTCCTGGAAAAAAAGCTGTTCACTAAGAACTGGAAAAGATCTAGGATACTGTTCTTGCAGCACTTTAAGATCTAAATAGAATTAAAAGGACAGCTTCTTCTCACAGTTGTTTGCTAGAGAAAAGCAGGAGTTTTTTAAGAAGTTGGGAGGCCTCCAACTCATCTGACTATTTTTACAGCAAGACCCCGGGGTGCCACAAAGCCTAAAGAACAAGCTAGCACTTGCTTAAACAAGTCAACCAACACATATCTTTAAGACTGAGCCCAAGGGAATTCTTTACTGCTAATATACTGTATATCTAGTTCTTCAAAATGTTCAAGAATAAGTTCTGTTTCTCCTGACAACAAAAGGAATGTCTGATGCGCAGCAACGAGGTCCTAATAACCATTCAAATATATTCCACTGCTGTACAATAAACAATAGAGGGAAGGAAGGCATTCAAAGAAGAACTAAAGGTTCAGTTATGAAACCAATTTATGTTTGTTGCAATAACTGGTACTTTTTACAATTTTTTTACAGAGGGACATTATCCTCGTCCCCTTTCTTAAATTTGCAGGGATACATTTTGCAGAAACTACATTCAAACCTGTTCAGCCCCCAGGTAAAGAAAAGAGTCAGGCACCTGGATCTCCAATAACCTCTTTGTGCAACCTATCTCTTACGTGGGTCTAGATTTGTATTTGTTTTGCTCTTAATAAGGCAGCCAAGAAGGTAAAGCAGTGGGTGAGATCCTTAAAATGTTTATCAAACACATTCATTTCAATCTACGTTTGAGCAGGTCTGGATCTCTCCTTAACTCATACCAGCCCCGCAGCCTTCTCAAGAGGAAGGAAGCTGTGGGGGAAAAGTAGATAAACCAGATTTTGGAGAACCCCAATAAAGAATTAAGCAGAAGTGATTCAGACAGTCAAAATGTATCAGCCAAAAGGGGGGGGGGAAATCTATCAATTTAGAGACAAAGAAAACTTCAACAGCACACATGTAACAGTCATTAAGGCAACAACAACACTGTTTCTTAAAAAGAAAACATATCATTCTCCACATTTGCCAGGGTTCAAATCTTTTAAACATCCCTCAGAGCCATTTTCCTTTAAAGCCTTACCTTCAGGAGCCAAGCTTAAACATAGACACATTCCAGTGAACTAATAAATGCAAAACACACACAGTTTTTCCTCCTCTTCTCAAGCCTTATTGCTGGAGCAGCATATAATCAGAATACCATTATGCAGCTGCAAGAGATCCAGTAAAGACTGGATTTAGATCCGTTTCCACCTGTCTCTGAATTCTGGCTTCCTTTAATTATATTTCAAAGATGAAGGAAATCTGCCTTTGGAACTAATGCCTTTTTTGGTGGGGGGGGGGGCCTCTAAACTATAAAAGAATTGTATACAGAACCTGGACAACAATTTAGTGACTGTTCAAAGTTACAATGGCACTGAAAAAAGAGACTTAAGACCATTACAGCATCTTCATGGTCATGTGATCAAAATTCAGATGATTGGCAACTTATCCTTATTTATGACAGTTGAAGTGTCCCAGGGTCATGTGATCCGCTTTTGCAACCTTCTGAAAAGCAAAGTCAGTGAGGAAGCCAGATTCACTTAACATCTGTGTTACTAACTTAACTGTAGTATTCACTTAACAACTATGGCAAGAGAGGTCGTAAAATGGGGCAAAACTCACTTAACAACTGTTTCCCTCAGCAACAGAAATTTGGGGTCAATTGTGGTCATAAGTTGGAGACTACCTGTAGATGGAAGTTGATTTCCTCAGTTAACACAACCACATACACACACATCAGTTTCCCACCATATCATGCATATTTGTAGCCTGCCTGACAAATTTTTGGTTAATCCTATATCAAAAGAGCACTAAATCATTGCAATAAACTAGAGGTAAAGTCCAAGAGTCCTTGTGGGAAGGCCTAAGCATGTTCTTAGGCCTATCAAGCACAGAAGGTATAAAAAAAGAAAAGAAAGTTTCATTGTTTTACTGCAGGGAAATTTACTTGGAAGCAGCAAAGCCTGAGCAAGAGATAATGCCCATTATAAATAGAGCAAAAAATGAGAATGAACCTGCTCATGTGTGAAGGAAAACCCTGTTAATGATGCCAATGTCTCCCAAGGGAATGCATTCCACTTTTCTCCCACCTCAAGAAAATGGTCATTGTTGGGCTAGGGGTCTTGCTGCGGCAGGCATATTTCTAAATATCTCTTGCACCAGAGTCCAATCCTCTCCTCCTGCCCTTCTGTGCTTTGTTTCCTCCTTCCTTTAAAGTGTGTAGGCCGTGGGAGTGGGGGAAGGATAAGGAAGAACAGAGCCAGTGTTTCAGAGCCAAGAATGACAATGCCTTGGCTTACAGCAACCAAGCTTGCTGGGAATGATTGAAGACCAGCTGAAAAAGATGGGCCCATTTAGTGAATTGTAGTTCTGGCATTCTGTCCCTTCTGCATTATATTTGCTAGCACAATTATAAGCTTAGTGTTGGATGTCCTTAGGGTAAGGCCATAAAGTACTGTAACCTTTAACTAAGCTCTCCAGTGGTAGAAAAACAATGGGGGCCTCCAGCAAGTCAAACAAAGCACCCTCTAAGACAGGGGTCTTCAAAGTTGGCCCTTTTATGACTTGTGAACTTCAACTCCCAGAATTCCTCAGCCAGCGTGCCTGGCTAAGGAATTCTGGGAGTTGAAGTCCACAAATCATAAAAGGGCCAGGTTTGAAGACCCCTGCTTTAAGAAAACCTGTCCATCATCATTAAAGAGTCACCTTATATGGGGAGTTGGTCAGCATATAAATTTAATAAACGAACAAACAAATAAATTAAATAAAACTTTGGATCTTGGAAGCAACTTCAAGCTGAACCACAAAGGACTCCTGGAGAACCCTACTTACTTGAAGCCAATCAGGCATGATGGAGGATGATGTGCATATTAATTGATGCACTCTCTGTGTTATCATTTTGTAAAACAAGGAATACGGAACATGAAATAGCGGTGGCAGCGTGGGTTGCTGAACTTTTCTGTTTCTTCCTCTCTCCCATTTCTTAAAAGACTTGTATAGCTCTGATTCCAGAGACAGAGTAAATACAGTGAGAAATGGCAAAAGCAAAAAAAAAAAAAAAAAAAAGTTTCCATGTAATTGTATCCAAGTGTGATAAAATTGTATGTATATTTTATGTTATTCTCATTTAAGTAGAAAGGAAAGTCTAACCTAATGATGTAAAGGGTTTTCTAAGAACATTACAGCAGCTTCAGTAGATGAGACCACAGGTCCATCTAATCTAGTGTATTACTTCCAACAATAACCAGACAGATACTCCAGAGAAACTAACATGGCTAGACATGAAAATAGCTAATTGGTATTCAGAAGGGCAACAGCGAAACTTTTATTTTGCAGTCCTAGCTAATGACTAGGACGGAATAATCCTGTTTTATATATATTGCTCAAAAAAATAAAGGGAGCACATCCTATAGGTATATATATTTTTGATTCTGCATAGATCTCAAAAATATTTTGAAGTACATTTTGTATAAAAACTTCTTCTGTCACTCATTCTAGCGGAGATGCCAAGACCACCTCCTTCATTCTCAAAAATAAGCTGCATTTTTTTTTCAGAAGAGAACAGAAGTCTAATTCACAAGCCCACACTTGTACACACAGGGGACATTCCTTCCATAATATGCTTTTTTGTCTGGTTTCATATTAGCAGCTGAACCTAGATTTATGAAGGTATGACTCAAACTAAACAATGGACATTACAGAAAGCAAAAACAAAGAAATAAGAACTGGTGAGGTGTGTAAGTGCAAAAAAGAAAATATGAGATCTGGTACAATCACTGAAATGACGGGGAATTGGAAAAAGCACAATTGTGAAGTTGCAAAATGTGTAACACTCATTTAAATGGCATCATGAACTAGAGAGGTTTTCAATTTTTTAAAAGACAATTTAAAAGGAGAGATAAATGGAGTTTTGGGTATCTATTCTCTAGTAATAGGGGAACCATTAGCCTTTTGTTCTCAAAAAAAAAAAAAGGTCAGGCTTTGAAGTTAAAAAAAAAATAAATTTGCAAAAGCAAATCAGGGAAAATGTTAAGATTATAAATGGCTGTTGATCTCATATAAGTCACTTTCCTCCTCATGACAAATTCACAATAAGTACGTCTAGAACCGGGGTGTCAAACTTGCAACATCATGTGACGTGTCGCGACATATCACGATTTTTTCACCACTGCCAGCAATGGGGTGGACACGGTTTCACCATGACACATTCAATCCGTGGGCCGGCAGTTTAACACCCCTGATCTAGAAGCAGCTGAAGATAAGATTGAGGTTCAAATATCATTCAGCCCTAAAGCCCATTGCACGATCTTGAGCTAGTCACTCTCTCTAATTCAGTGTTTCTCAACCTTGGCCACTTGAAGAGGTATGGACTTCAACTCCCAGGATTCCCCAGCCAGCTATGCTGGCTGGGGAATTCTGGGAGTTGAAGTCCATACCTCTTCAAGTGGCCAAGGTTGAGAAACACTGCTCTAATTCATCTCAAACAACTGAGAAAAGGGAGAGAGGATATATTCTCTGAAGGAAATGCAGTGTATAAAAGTATAATTAACACTATTGAGTCCCTCACCTGTATCCTGTCTTCAAAAATAAACATTTCTTCAAGATGGTTTTGCAAAACAGAACAGTAATAAAAATGCATTAAAAATAAACAGTGTCAAATAGCATATGGGAAATTGTAAAATCTGTCATAATAATCCTCACAGGAAGAAGAGCTTCCACAGTATCTAAAATGAGAGCACAAAAAGCAAGGTGGAATTCCAGAATAACAGTGCCCTCAAAGAGAAGGTCTCCTAATTAATTTTCCTACACCGGATCAAACTGAAAGGAAAAGTAATAATGCTTTAATAGTAAATATTGACAATGTTTCTTCTTTTTAGAATGATATTAAAAGCATCACTAGATTTTACTAGTAGTATTTGATGAATTATCTCTGTGCTATGTCTCACATATGAGCAGCAAGGAAGGCTTTTAAACCATGATTGCTTTTTAACAGGCCACAATGGCTTGGTTCACTCCTAATACTGTACTAAATCATAATGGGGGGGTAAACCAACAATAGACATCATTAGCTTAGTGTAATGATGAACCAAGCCAGGGTGTGATATAATTAAGTAATTTATTTGAGGAATATAAAGAAGAAGAAATATAAAATGGCACTAAATTCTCAGATTACTGTGAATTCTCCATGATCGTTGGAAGCCAATGCAAAATTATGAGATGTTGCTTCAGATCTGCTTGAAGAGCAGGTTGAGCCCATGTCACTCAGAAAACTGTTACTGGACACTTGCGTGCACCAGGTCCTGGTTTCCTCCATCAGATATGTGATTTCTTGAAAATAGGTAACTTTAGTTTGCAAGCAGTGAACTTTGTAGCAGAAACATCTAGATTTTGCACTAGTTTCTAGCCCGAAACAATCTGTGAACCCACATTAGTGGTGCTGCCTGGCTCACCCTGCTTCACAGCTTGTTGGACCCTAGTATGATGGCTGAGTCAAAAATAAGTAATTAGGAGAAAGAATGTGTTGGCTTCTCTCCATAATGCACAGTGATGCCAGCAGTGTAATTATTTTACTATGTTTACAAGGGGACGTGGGGAATTGCATGAAGCTGAGGAGGTGGCAAGCCTTCCAGTACCGATTGTATGAGACATTTCACTTTTCATCTGCTGGCCAGAAAGGGAAGGTTAGCTATTGCATCTTTACTAGCTAAGGAAACAAATCGTAACCATTCCCCTGTTGTCTGTTGTCTAAATCAGGGGTCTCCAAACTTGGCAATTTTAAGACTTGTGGACTTCAGCTCCCAGAATTCCTCAGACAACAAGTCTTAAAATTGCCAATTTTGGAGACCCCTGGTCTAAATAATAAAAACAGCCCTCAAACTCTCTTTCTTTTCCATTATTAAATCTGTATTTTCGCTTTAAAGGAAAAGAATATTTTTACAGCTTTTAGGAGAGAACTCTTACAGTACAGTACCAAATGCATAGCTTGATCTGCCTTCACTGGTAATTTGAGCAGTTAAGAGATTAGCAAGATTGGACTCATGCTGGGGAGAAATATGGCTAGCGTAAGAGCAACCAACTATTCACTTACTGTAGGCTCCCCTCCCACACCCCAGGAATACTAATGCCTCTCAGTAGAAGAGATAATACCATTTAGAGAAATCTTTGGGAATCACAAAGTTATTCATTAGTGCTAAGGTTTTTTTTCCCTATGCACGAGTGGTTTCCATCATTCTAACAATATTCTATATAGCGTATGTTGCGTGGAGCCCCAAAGTGTGAAATAAATCATGCATGCAGTGGTGCCCATTCCAGTTTTCCTTCCACTCCTTTAAAATTTGGGGGAAGGGGGAGTGAGGTTTGTATGTATACATCTTCATTCCTCAGTGAGGCCAGAAGCCAAAGTGACAGGCTATCAGGCATACGGCATGCTTTTGCATTAATTCTGGAGCTGTCTGTCAGACAAGCAGAGCCTATTTGGGATCGCTGTCCTCAGGCCCTCAGAAAGCAAAATGTGGAGTAGGGAAAAGCCACTTTCCAAATCAACTAAAGCATTGTGAAATTTTGCAGGAGTTCAAATTCCAAACCTGTAGGGACAGAGCTGGGTGGATTCAGAAGGGCCAAGTATCCTGTAATAGGTACAAATTAAATAGATTAAACAATAGCATCTTCTATTCAAATGGTAGTCCTTCATACTGTAAAGATAAAGAATGACACAAATCAACACGGATTTTTGAACCAGTCCTACCTAACGATGATGCAAAACTAACTGCAAACATTTATATGCCAAGAGGGTTGCATCAGTTAAAATAAAAATAGTTGAAACATAACAACTAAATATTCAGTACTCCCTGCTGCTGAAAAGGAGTTTCCAGTAAAAAGCAGTTCTTCTCTGGAGAACTTCAGGCTTGCTGTCTCACAAATTCCCCAAAATGTAACAGGACACTATGATGCAACTGCACTTTTGAATTCCATTGATACCCTCTTTTCTTCAGAGTGCTCCTCGTGAATCAGAACACCTAAAACAGGGGTAGTCAACCTTGGCTCTTTTATGACTCGTGGACTTCACGAGTCATAATTCCTGGCTCAGGAATTCTGGGAATTGAAGTCCATGAATCATAAAAGAGCCAAGGTTGACTATCCCTGGTCTAGAATTTACACACCCACATGCTCACCCCTCCCTCTGTTTGCCATGCAAAACTGGAAGCCTCCGTCCTGATTCCATTCAGTGCTGCCAGGCTATGTGGAAAGATCTGCAGTAAAATGCCACAGCGGTGCTGTCGAACACACAGAGGCCCTTAAATAACTTTGACATCTGGCCAAGCTGTATTGAAAGTGAATGTTCCATTCCTGAACCTTTGCCTCTTTCCACAACAGTCCCATGCAAACTCCCCCCTCCCCTTCATCCATACATGCACACTTCAACATGTATGGAAATATTGACCCAGTGCCAATCACAAAGCAGTAGTGAGAGTGGTTGCCCTGAAGAAGATAAGCTCTCCCCAGCCAAACCTTGTGGGGGTGATTTCTAGCTACACACCACGGATGAACAGTCACATGGAGCAAATGGATTCGTCAACGAGACACACTATCATAGAGGAAAGGAAAGGGGGGGGGAGATGAGGAGAAAATACAATGATAGAAACAAAAATGTTGGAACTCATAAGGCTGTTTTAGAGTCCGGACCAGATCAGCACATTGATTCGAGACAGATAAATATGGGAATTCTTTTATTCATGGTAGTCTACAGAGTCTGCTTACCAGATTTCCTACTCCCTTTATTATTATTTTTTTAAGTCTTTGGATGAGGATGAGGGTGGTCAACTGGATCAAGGAGCAGGAATGCTTTTGGTCCCACAATAATAGAAGAGAATAGTTGGATTATTCTGAGGAGGCTTCCCTTCTAATTCATGGAGGGTTTTTTTTAACAAGTTATGGAAGATTGTTTGTGAATAGGCAAAACTGCTGTTTTGTGAATGCACCTATTATATGTTTTCCAAACGTAGTTACGTGGGGGAGGGAAGCTTATTTGGGGTGTGAAGTCATCTCTGAAAAAGCAGAGGATAAATTTCTCAGCGCTTACTCTCTGACAAATGAGCTGGTAAATAAACAAATGGTGCCATGTTGGAAAGGACTCTAAATTAGCCATATCCTTCCACCATCAACCCCACAGTGTGGAAAAAAGCTGCACCTGCCCAATCTCAAGTTTCATGCCAGAACAAGGGAGCCCAGGGCCATGCTAGGAGGATCTGTACGGCAGGAAAGACCAGGGAGAAAGACGGAAAAGCAGCAACAGAACAAACCAGAAAAAGAGAAGGATCGCTGTCGGTGAAGAGGAGGATGGGGGCTTTTCATGCTGTTCCGGAGGTCCCGGAGTTTGGCGTTGTATTCTGACAAGGTGAGATGAAGGTAGGGCGGATAGGAGTAGAGAAGCAGAAGGTCAACCAAGGAAGAAACAAAATCCATCATGGAGAGTGTGCGGGACAAAGAGGACACACAGAGAGAACAAAATTACAACAAAGGAGAAACAAAAAAAGGGGGAAAAAACATAAGAGAAAATGTTAGTTGAAATCTTACCCCAAGATTTTAAGACATTGCGATGTGGCTTGAGAGTAAGTCATAATACATGACCTGAAGAGAGCTCTTCAGTTATTAATTCTTTCACTGTACCTTGGATATAGAGGATAAACTTCAGGAATGAAAATATGGAGGTAATCACAAACACCATTCAGACTGCTAACTTTCTTTGGACTCAAACCATATTCAGGACACAATCTTTATCAACCTGGTATATGGACCTCATTTTCAATCAGAAAATTAAGGAAGAGAGAGGGTGTTCTAAAGATAAAGGTTTCCCTTGTCCAGTCATGTCCAGTCAAGGGGTGGTGCTCATCTCTGTTTCTTAGCCAAGGGAGCCAGCATGGTTGAAAGACATTTCCATGGTCATGTGGCCAGCATGACTATACACTGAGGCACATGGAACACTATTACCTTCCCCCTGGAGTAGTACCTATTTATCTACTTGCATTTGGATGCTTTTGAACTGCTAGGTTAGAAGAACCTGGGCCAAGTGACAGGAAGTCTACACGTCATACAGCATTGGGTCTTGAACCCGAGCTGTCAGCTTTTCCAACTGACAAGCTCAACATCTTTAGCTGCTGCACAGGATGTCATCTGTTGTGGTTTCTTTATCTGTATTCCTCTCAAATATAAACAAGTGGGTAAAGAAGAACTCCACTGAGCAATGATATAGACCAGTGATGGCAAACCTTTTAGAGACTGAGTACCCAAACTGCAACCCAAAATCCACTTATGCATCATCGAGTGCCGGGTGGATGTGGCCCATGGGTGGGCGTGGCCCATTGGGTGGGCATGGCTGCCATGGTAATGACAGACTGGGTGGGACTAAAAAGTTCAATTCCAACTTTGCAAGATCTTTTTTTCTCTCCCGCAAGAAGTTAAAATTGACTGATTGAACCTTTTTTTTTTTTTTGCACATGGCGGCAGAGGCCTAAAGTGAAAAGGTTTTATAAAACCCAGATGAAGGCCTAGGACTGGGGCGACGGCATGTGTGCCCACAGAGAGGGCTCTGAGTGCCGCCTGTGGCACCCGTGCCATAAGTTCGCCACCACTGATATAGACTGAGCCCAGAGGAAGAAATAAATGAAACGAAAAAGAGAGCAGCAATAATACTAGGGGTTAAAGGCCTTGTGGCTGTCTCATCTAAGGAGCTGGCAGTGTGACAGGATAAGGACAAAATGCATAAGCAGTCGTGATGTAAATGTGGCTCTATACCTACTCATACTATAAGAAATGGAGTATGTGTAACACAGAGATATCTGTACCTCGTTCAGCAAATCTAGCTGCACTTCCTCCTGACCAAAAGACCAGCCTATCTCTTCTTCCTGTTCTGAATTTCTTTCTCTCTATCACTAGCACTTACATTTCAATGGTTCCATTAAGATATTTTGCCACTGCGGCAATGTGCTCATTTTTAAGTATCCATTTGTTACTGACTAGTTTAAGCAGAAAATACATCTATGTCACAAGCCTGTCTTTATCAAGTATTTTGCATGACTGTCAGTGTACGTTATTTAGCTAATAGTGAATATGGAGAAAGTTACGGTGGCAGCTTAATTATAATTCTATTATAATTCCATACTTTTTATTTATTTATTTATTTATTTATGAGACTTATATACCGCTTTAAGTGCAAGCACTCTCTAAGCGGTGTACCCCAGTAAGCAATGTATATATATATTTACATTGCCCCCAACAATCTGGGTCCTCATTTTACCTACCCCGGAAGGATGGAAGGCTGAGTCAACCTTGAGCCGGTGAGATTTGAACCGCTGACCTGCTGAACACAGTCAGCTAAAGTGGCCTGCAGTACTGCACTCTAACTGCTGCGCCACCTCAGCTCTTTCTTTTGAAGAAAAGCTTAGACTCCTATTTGGGAAGTACAAAAAAACCAGTAGGGATAACTGAGATTGTCTTCCTACAGGTAGTTCTTGACTACAACCACAGTGGAGCTCAGAATTTTGATTGTAAATCATTGCAATTGTAAGTCAAGGCACCATGTGATTGGACTCAACTTTATAACCATTTTGCAATGGTTATAAAGTGAATCATCATGGTCATTAAGCAAATCACATGGTTGTTAAGCAAATCATGTCATCATTAGACAAATCCAGCATATCCAATAGGTGCTTTTTTTTTGCTGGAAATTGGCACAAAAAAAAAGAGTCACAAATAGTAGCCATGTCACCATGGAACTCTGCTCCTGGTCATAAATGCAAGCCAAATGAGATCACAACACTGCAGAGATGTATATGCAGCAGTGAAAACTTCAAGGAGAAGTTATAAATAGTCTTTTTTAAGTCTGTTGTAACTTCAAATAGTCTTCAAACAACCGGCCTAAGTCAAGGACTACCTGTATTCATATATCAAGTATAAAAAAGTTAATATTAAAAGCATTTCTCTCTACCTCTGATTCAACATTTCCATACAGGCTGCAATCCTATACCTAGAAGTTTCCTTTTGGTGGGACCTACTGCAGCATATAAGGCTATATCTGTCACTTAACAAAGATAAAATGATGTTTTGCTATTAATACGATTTGCAAACATTTATTTTAATAACAACACTTCAAAATATATGTAATCTCCTACACTCAAATAGCAAATCTGGACTCAGGATAGATTTTAATCACTTCTAAATATCAGGGAATTTGTAAGTTTTTTCAATGTGCAGTTCCACCCCCCCACCCCACCCCATTGCAAAAGGCTCTTATAGGAGAGGCAAGTGTATAATACAAATTAAATTGTCTAAATAACTCCATTGATTCAGAGGAGGTTAAATTTAGCTCCAACCATCCCAGTCCTTTGGGGGAGGGGCTAAATTATTTTGCTTCCCTCCAGTGTTGTGTGAACGGGTTAGTGGGGAATTAGTTCATTCTTGTTTTAGAAACTGAGATGATGTCCTGGACCTCCTAGACAGTAAAAAAAAAAAACCAAAACACTCCTCAGTAGGAACTCCTCTATAGTTTTCATCTGCCTGAAGCAATTGGGAGTTGCGAAAAATAGGTGAGAAGTGATATGAGATAAGTAAGACTGTTCCCCTTATGTTTCTCTGCACTGACACACCACAAATTGTTCCTACTTCTGAAAATAAAAAAAGACGGCAGGGAAGAAAGAGCTTCCCAGCATCTTCTGAAATGGTTGGAATGGTTAAAGCAGTTGTTTCTCAAACGCAGCAACTTCAAGCAGGGTTGGCTGGGGATTTCTGGGAATTGAAGTCCACGCTTCGTAAAGTTACCAGGTTTAAAAAAACATTGGACTAAAGCAGGGGTAGGCAACCTTGGCTCTTTTATGACTCGTGGCCTTCAACTCCCAGAATTCCTGAGCCAGCCATGCTGAGGGGAAAGGGAGAGGTTTCCAAGCTGAGCCATGTTGGCTTAGGAATTCTTGGAGTTGAAGTCCACGAGTCATAAAAGAGCCAAGGTTGCCTACCCCTGCTCTAGAGTATTTTTAAAAAAGGCAGGCAGACCAAGAAGGTGAGATACCTTTCTTTTCTTAACAGTGACTTTGCTAGATCTCTCTTGGATTTTCCTATTTCATATTAAAATCTCACTTGCATTTAGTTTCTAGTGACTGTAGGTACATATCCACCTAGTTTTCTTTGTCAAGAGCATGCTGGCTCAGGAATTCTGGGAGTTGAAGTCCATGAGTCATAAAAGAGCCAAGGTTGCCTACCCCTGGATTAAAGGATCCAGAGAAGATGACAGAGTTGTTAAAATCTGGCAAACCCAATCCAACAGTAGTAAAATGGATTGTGGAGCATGAGTCGAGTAGGTTGTGCTCATTGTTTCAGGACTTCCATTTAGTTTATGAATTCTCCTGGGGTGTGCAGGATTTTCACTGGTACTGAAAGGGATTCTCACAGCTTTTCTTGAGAGCAAATCCTCCTAGAGACATTTTGTTGTAATCACTGCGCGGGGGGGGGCCTCTTCTGCCCCTGATTAGGAAACTGGAGTTCTCATGACAGCGAGAACCAGGCAGGAGGATGATCTGTGAAATTCCACACATACTTGCCTTGGAACAAACAGGCAATTTATAGCAAGTCATTGTAAATAACATGCTGGCCCTTGCTCTTTCAGCGTGTTCTGCACATTTCCTTCTCATCATTCTCTAGCATGTCAGTTGTTTGCTTTCAAGTTTTAATAATTTTTTTTCCTGATTTTTCATTTTTCCAATCTTATATTTGTGCTCTTGCACACACACGATTTGGAATTCAAAATAAAAAGTCAATGTGAAATTTCATATGCACTTTGTGTGCATTTCTCTAAATAGACATACCACGTGCTTTCCATCTCCCCAGCAAACGGACATAGTAAGTGACTTTGTGCATACTTTTCCTGATGGGTATATTTTAGTGTTCTCTTTTATGTAATAAATGCATTTTCATATTTCCTTTTTTTTTTAATCATCAAACTACATCTCCAGATCCAGAAATCTATATGTGGCACGCTCGTGCATCTGTTCACATACATTGGACACGTTCACACAATTCAGAACTGAACTCATTTCTCTTGTAACTTTATTAAAATGTAGATTTTGAACATGTTCTAAAAAGTACTTTCTTTTGCAAAACATTGAAGCACTGTTCTGGAGACAATGAAGAATCAGATAATTATGGGCATTACTGCCAACTGCAGGCAAAGAAGCACTACCTACTGCTACGTTTTGTGTGAACAAAAACAATTCCTTTTATCTGAGTTCAGCCTGTGTAAGAACACTGAACACTCACAGTAAACACAGGGAACATATTTCTATCACAGGTCACTACTTAAATTATGTGCATCTATACACATTCCAAGATAACACAGTGAATCAGCCATGAAACTATTTTTTTTTTCCACCTTACTGTTTTCTTTATTCTCAACTAAACCGTTTTCTCTCTGCTAAATACTTTTAATGCCCGTTGCCCAGCTTTGACTGGTAATGAGGGCTGGATTAGATGCAGGACATTTCTGAGTGGTTCTACAATTAAATACTTTTTCATCTAATTACCATCTCTCAGCCTGCTGAGGTTGACACTACTGCATACCAAGTACAATCATCACAATATTTCCTCACCGCTATGTATTGTGGTTTAAAGAGAATTCCAGAGCTTTAACCCCAAAGACAGTTTTGGAAAGTGTATCCTCTGTAATTTCTGCTTGGTGTGTTCAATATGCAACTTTGTTCCTATATGATGAAGGCACTTATTTATTGTTTCAAAATTAACCTATCCATCTCGATTCAAAGGAAGGCTTGCATGAATACATTTTTAAAAGCTTCGTGGCATCCAAGGCATCACATGCTTAGTTCTTGTCATGCGCTGCATGGAATGAAATTGAGGATCTTTTATATAAATAAAAACTCAAGACTGTCTTAAGATGGGAAGCTTTTCATCATCAGGATTTGGATAAACATGTTTTTCAAGATGGTCACATCTATGCCTGAAGAGAAATGTTTAAAAAGCACATGAAGAACTGGTATGGAGGTTTTTAAGAAGAGATTGGACAACAATTTGTCTGAAATGGTATAGAGCAGTGGGGTTCTTAACCTTTTTGAACAAATTGCCCCCTTGAGCCAATGAGGAAGTTGTCATCACCCCCTCCCCCAACATAACCCCTCAATCACAACATAGGAAATAATTCTTCAATTTATGCAAACACTTTTTTTGTTTTCTTTAAAATTGTCATCAGGACAATTTTAAAGAAAACAAAAAAAAAGTCTTTTCCCCATATCTCCCATATTCTGGCTAATGGCGTGCCACTGTGCTGCTGTGCAACGCGCATTGAAGATAAGCGATGCGTCTTCACATATGTACGGCATTCTGTACTGAAGCTAGCTGGAGGAACATTTGAAAACACAATTCAATCCACTAATAGCGAGCGATCTGATATTTTTGTACGACAGATATACAGCCATTCACTGTACGGAAAAGTCTCAAAAGTGTCCCCAAAACTTCTCCCTCCATCGCCCCCATATCACCCCCTTTTCGTTCCTTCACCCCCGCGTCGCCCCTTTTCATTCCATCGCCCCCCTGAAAAATGAAATTGCTCCCTGGGGGGCGATATTGCCCAGGTTAAGAACCACTGGAGAGTTTCCTGCTTGAGCAAGGGGCTTGGACTAGAACAGGGGTAGGCAACCTCGGCTCTTTTATGACTCATGGACTTCAACTCAGGAATTCTGGGAGTTGAAGTCCATGAGTCATAAAAGAGCCGAGGTTGCCTACCCCTGGACTAGAAAATCTCCAAGGTCCCTTCCAACTCTGTTGTTCTCTTAGTCTGTTAAAATTATCACTGGAATAGAAGAACAGGCTGTTCTCTTAGTTTGTTAAAATTATCACTGGAATAGAAGAACAGGCTGTTGAGCCTGCCTTTAGTGATGGGGCAGGAGTGAGGATCTTACAGTCTAAGGTTTTTTTCAGATTATTATAAATTCCTTCCACTGATTATAACAGAGAGTTTTCACCTAGGTTTATAAGCCAAAGTACCTTGTCCTTTCTATGCCATAGGCCCTCTAGAAAAAAGTGGGGTTCCGCTGCTTTTTCAGATATCTAGCATTGCAAAGACAAAGGTCTTCAGCAAAGCTTTTCCAAAGGGAAACAATTATGAGCATATCATGCATTTAAACTCATGCACATTACTTGCTCTTACTGAATACCACTTTCTCAGTTCAGAGGATGCAGAGCCCGGCCCAAGTCTTCCCGTCCTCTGAGCATCAGAAAAAGACATGAAATAAGCACCCGAGGCTATGGAATATTGAGCCTCTGTGGGTGGGGTGGACATTTCCTTCCTAAATCAGCAGCTTGCAGCAAAGACACTAACAGCTTTTTTGCCAGCTCCCTCATTCACTGAATATCAAATCAAATCAAAGCCCAGTCTTGTTTGCCACAATTACCCTAGCAGTTGCTGGGTAATTTCTCCCTAGGATCCAATCTATCCAACAATGTTGTATTGTATGCTTTAATGTCAACTGCTAACAATTATACATTAGAAATTCAGGATTTCTTGAGTTTATACAGATGTCAGTTTAGGGCAGTGGTTCTAAACCTTTTTAATGCCGCGACCCCCAACCGGTCGTAAGTCAAGGACTACTCAACCGGTCATAAGTCGAGGATTACTCAACTGGTGCAGCACCGTTTGCAGAATGGGACTTTTGGCGGGCTCAGCAGGGCAGAGACAGCCTGGACAATTCCTATTGGCTTTTGAAAGCCAATAGAATTAGACTCTATTCAAGAGAGTCTATTCTATTGGCTTTCAAAAGCCAATAGAATAAAAGGGAGTAGCACAGCTAAGGAAAAGGGGGAAAAATGGCAGACTGCATTGTTTGGCGACCCCCGTGAAATGGTCGTTCGACCCCAAATGGGGGTTGAGAACCACTGGGTTAGGGCAAGTGAGGCATAGATGCACAGTACCAGCCCATGAATTAACGATGGCTATCAGAACCCAGGGAGAGCACCAAATTCAGGGAAGTAAGTGCAGTGGCTCCCAAAATCAATTTTCCTCCTTTTGGGAGAAGGAAGGAAGAGAATTTTCTACACACACACACACACACACACACAAAAGCTTTGGGAAAGGTTTATGGTGCTCATCGTTATCTCATGTTAATGAAGATGCTAAGTACGGATTACAGATCGCCAACATATAGCAATGCTATTTAGGCAGCAGGGATTCACATTCCTCCTAGGTTGAAGTGGTGTTTGGGGATCCTCTAGTCTTCAAATGGGACAATTCTAGCCGCAGTCAATCAATCAATCAATCAATCAGAATACAGCTGGAAGAGACCTTGAAAGTCTTCTAGTCCAATGTTTCTCAACCTTGACAATTTTAAGGCATGTGGACTTCAACTCCCAGAATTCCACAGCCAGCATTGCTGGCTGTGGAATTCTGGGAGTTGAAGTCCACATGCCTTAAAATTGTCAAGGTTGAGAAACACTGTATAGTCCAACTCTCTGCTCAAACAGGAGACCTTATACCAATTCAGACAAGTGGCTGTCTAGTCTCTTCTTAAAGACCTCCCGTGATGAACTACCACCACCCCACTTCTGCTGTTCCACTGGTTAATTGTCTTCACTGCTAGGCAGTTTCTCCTTAATTCCAGGTTGCTTCTCTCCTTGATTAGTTTCCATCCATTGTTTCCTCTCCTGCCCTCTGGTGCTTTGGAGAATAGGTTGACTTCCTCTTCTTTGTGGCAGCCTCTCAAATACTGGAATATTGCTATTATGTCCCCCCCCCCCGAGTCCTTCTTTTCTGTAGACTAGCCAAACCCAAGTCCTGCAACTATTCATATGTTTTAGTCTCCAGGCCTTTAATCATCTTAGTTGCTCTTCTCTGCACTTTTTCCAAAGTCTCAACACCTTTTTTGAAATGTGGTAACCAAAACTGGATGCAGTATTCCAGGTGTAGTCTTACTAAGGCTTTATAAAGTGGTAGTAATGTCTGTTCCTCCAACTTAGCAGGCAATAGAGGCAGATTATCTGAGCTATAACACAAACTATGCTGGTCCTATCAAAAGCTCTGTATTTGCATATGACCCACTTGCTAAAAATGCTAGCCATTACTGGCCCAAGACAATAACCCATGAAATATTTAAGATCATGTCACCCTTCTGACTCATGCATTGCTATGCATAATTAAGGGAATTTTTTAGCTATGCATTTTAATTCATGAATTGCCAGGGCAGCCCTTCCTCTAGCTTCATCAATGCTTGAATTTCATTTACTGCACCACCAATTGGCCCCTTCCAACCTCTCAATCCTCAACCTCCTAGAACACAAACCTCCTTGGGCATGACATGCAGATACAGTATGAGGCACAGTGCCCAGGCCATTGTTTAGAACTGAATAAATAGTCAATAGCAACTATTGAAAAATCTGGCCATATTTAGAAAAAGGCCACTGCGAGTGAAAATGAAACATTTTCTGTATTTTCAGCACTGCAGTCTTTTCATTCTGCATTTTATGGGAAGAGTAGAGTTTATCAGTCTAATTTGAATGAAGCCATCTGAATAAAAGCAAGTTCCTGAAAAAAGCACACATCCGATGACTTACAAAATCCACATTTCGGGCCCTAAAACAGAGGCAGCTTATTCCAATTAAAACCTACAGCAAGACTTTCTTACCTGCTATTCTGTGGGCCACCAGACCTTCAAGATGCAAAGGCTCTTCCCCTGAGGCCCGAGAGGTTTCCCCGTGATGCTCAGCCTCGTTTAAGGGCATCTGAGTTTGGACTGCTGTTGTGGATGAGGGAGGCGATATCAGCAGAGGATGCTGCCCTTCCATGACTTTGCATGCTGCTGCGTGGGGCCTGAGAGATGTGGGTGGGCTTCCTGCCATCTGCCCAAGGCTCTTTCCTTGTATTACAGATGGCTGTTGATTCTGATAGCCATATGGAGAATAGGCCTCTCTGAGATCTTGTGCTGGATACTCCGGTTCTCCAACACTGTTGAGCAATAGTTTCATAGGATGCGCTTTAGGTATTGGTTCGGCCATCTGGGGCACACTGGAGCCAAGAGAGTTTTGTGAAGGGCTTCCTGGAATCAAGCCAAAAGCATTGGTAGCCTTTGGTTGCACCACTTGAGGTCCTATCACAGGTTGGGCAGACATTGAAAGAGCTACTGGATGTGGCCTGTCTTCTCTGGTAGCCAATGGAACACTCTGGGATTTAGGCATTATGGAGACCGAGGGATCCAGGTCATGCATGAGCATATTGAGAGCTTCAATGGATTGTTCTATTTCCCTCTGGGAGGCAACTCTAGGGAATTCAGGGATGCTTATGCTTTGAGAGGGTGCTGCTTGTGAAGGGCTGGATTGGGGACTTGCACTAGCAATGCTGGAACTATGGCTGTCTCGAGCACCATCCTGTTGACGTGATGGTGGTCTGCTACCTCCACCTTGTTGCTGCCAAGAATTAAGCCCCCTCTGGACAGCTTCTCGACTACTTGTGCTCCGGGCTGGTGCTTGAGGAAGCTGGGAGATTTCAGCAGTAGCTGTGGGGAAGGACTGGGAGCGATATATGCTATTTGAGTCGTAGCCATAGGGATACTGCTGGCTGGAGGCTGGTGGCTGGGGTTGTAACCAGCCAGGAGTAGGGAAGCCATGCTGGTGATAATCAGCCAAATTTTCTTGGGCAGACACTGAGGGCCTGATGTGCGCATAAGGATCATGAGGGTGACGTCCCATGATGTTCCGCAAGGCATTCTGGTTGTTGTAGGGATAACCACCATTGATAACCATCTCCGAATCATGCAGCTTGTCTAAGCCATTGAAATTGGATGAACCATTGGGTAAGGAATTGAGACTCTCCATCCGGGGAGCCTCATGATAGCCAATGTCACTGGTGTTGATAGTGCCATCGAAAGAGGAGAGGGTACCTAAGCTACCCACACTGTGTCCATCCTGGTTGGGCAACTCATCATCCAAAATGTCAGTTTCCCTCTCAGCCACTAAGCCAGCAGCTTCCCCATTGACATGAACCTGAGCTGGTATGATATGGCGGCCTGGTGAAGCAGAAAGACCTGCTGTTACCTCACTGGGGCTGTGGTTGTGCATGGTGGCTTCGTTTTCCAAACCAAATCCACTAAGCAAGCTCTCAAGCTCCCGCTTTTCTTCAGGGGTCAAAATAGGATTGTTTCCTCCACTGCTGCTGGGAACCGAAGGTGCTGCCTGCTCATCAGTCTTGTCTGTCTTGGTGGAAGCAGTTGAGTTCCCTGAATCACTGCTTACCGAGAGCGTGTGCTCAATGTGGTTGGGGGCGGCAGAGAGGGCAAGCCGGTTGGGGTTGACAGTGCCAGTGCTGCCGTGAAGCGAGTCTTTCTTTTTCACCTTGGCATAGAGGCTTCCATCCAGGGGTCCTTGGGTGTGCCCAACTTCTGCAGGGAAGATCAGAGAAAGAAGACAAGGAAATCGTCAGTTAAGCCAGATCTCCTAGTTCATGGGTCTCCAAACTTGGCAACTTTAAGACTTACGGTTTTTAACTCCCAGAATTTTTCCGTCAGCATGGCTGGCTAAGGAATTCTGGGAGTTGAAGTCCACAAGTCTTAAAGTTGCCAAGTATGGAGAGCCCTGTCCTAGTTGAAACTTAAAATGATTTCTGGGCTGGTGTTCACTTTTGGTTACCAAGAGAATAAACATTGCTGCTCTACCAATTGAACACTCGGAAATTCATGTCACATGTCCTCATGTTCTCTGCACAGAAGAGGCATCAATCTGTGTCCCTGAGGTCTGCCCCATACATAGGAACTCATTGCAGCTGAAGAAGCACTGATGAACCAGAGCCAAAACAATTGCACGGGACGCTTCCCGCTTTCTTTTTTTCCCCATTATCTAAACAGAGGATATTTTTTATAGCAGTTGTGTTTCACATTGATCCAATGATATAGGAAACCCCAGCACAGGAAATGTAAAACTACAAAAATATAAACAGTTTCCCATAAATGGCATTCTAGGAGGAGCTGAACCTCTGCCTTTTGCTGTAAGCTAGGAACTACAAAATAAAGGAGGCTTTTTTGGGCCCCTACACAGGTCTGTTTGGTTTTACTTGGCCAGAAAATAAATCTTGGCAACTGCAATAGAGAATATAATGAAAAAGTTGGCTGAATATGCAAGCTTCTCTCTACTGGTTGCTGGGGAACTTAAATGGGAGGGCACTGTTATCTCTAATAATCTGTTTGTGAGTATGTATTTAATCCACCACCGTGGGAACCAATGTTAGATTAAGGATATGTATCTATGATGTGTTAGTCAGGAAATCTGACAGATGGTTAAACACACAGCTCCACATTTACCTATACTTGCCCAACCTGTTAATGGCAGTAATTGGTGGCTGTTTTTCCACCAGAAAACAGCTGAAATTTAGTAGGGGAGGAAATGAAGGATTCCACCAATCATATGCCTTAATTTGTCCCTTATTAAAACTATATGGGCAGCACCAGTTGTTAATCCCATTTATAGAGATAGAATAGGACTTGGTGATCAACAGAGCAAGTTTTTTGTCAGCTCAAAGACTGGTGAGTTTTTTGCCAGTGCGCAAAATAGGACTTTGGTCAAAAAGGTGATATTGTTTTGTTTTAACGTTGAATAAATAGAACAATTCAGCCAGAGCTCTTGTGAGATAAGCAAGATTAAACGTCTATTTACTTTCTTGTATGAAAGAACCCTGATAAAATTCATAGTTGCATTAGATCACATATTTGATGCTTCAAAACTATGTGGATTTTAGGCAAGTTCAAAAAGGGCTGTAATATATATTTTAAAAAACCCTTATATTTATTCATAGAGAAAATCGGAAAATATGTTCTTTTTCTTGTTTTGGAGCCTCTGTGAATTTTCCTGGAACTGCTTGAATACAATATGGAATGCACTTGTTTAGGGGGGAAAAAATGACTTCTCTTTGGCAAAAAGCCAAAGATTGATTCAGGAACAAAAGATGAACTAATGGAAGAGTGTAGATCACAAAGCGCTTATCTGCAAAGATCAAGCACTTCCGAAATGGACTCACAATTCTAACTTACAATTCTTTCTCATGAAGCACAAAGATGCATGCATACATGTATGTATATGCATACACACACATAGAGACACACACAGGTACACATCCAAATACTAACTATTAACAAACATTATACAGTAGTAATTATAGAATTTATGTAAGCAAAAGCATAAATCCAGCATCTGCCTTCCTTTGCTTGCTCCAAAAGGAGGCTAAAGTAATATACGTATACTAAAAACCATCACTAGAGCACCAAGAACACATTAACACAGAGACAAAATGTTCAAGAAATACACAGTAGTGTATCTAAAATACAACACACATGCTCATTTCATGGCCAACTGCATAGTGGTAGTGTGCACACACAATTACTCATCTAAAATTTGTTTACACGAACTATTAGGTGAGGGGAGCAAAGCACACATCCTTACAAAGAGGCAGTCATAAAATACTTTCCAGGGTTTTCTAGTGATCAACACTTAAACCTACCAAATCTTTTCTAAACTCAGTTAAACAACTTTCAACATAATTTTTCGGAACTGACCTTTCTCATAAGGCTATATGGAGTCCAGGTTGCCCAACTGCAATCATTGCTTTACAAAGATGGAATGAACCTCTCACATTCTTCCCAAGGGTTGGGCAGCTGCACATACAAGCCCCGAACAACTGATGAATTTTGTGCGGAAGCCACAAGAATGATTGAAGTAAAACCTACACTGTAGCCTGCTTCTCCTCTTGAGAGTCATATCATCCCTTCCATGGTGCTACAAATTTCCTCTCTCAATCTCCTGGAGCCATTAAGTGTCCTTAGTGAGATTGTATAACCAGAAGAACTGATGTGGCCATATGGGCTGGTGGTACAAATTTCAGCTTAAGAAGTGAATTGTTGAGCCTACAACAAAACACATTTGTATTGAGTTAACAGGTCCAAAAGCTGCTCTCTGGTGCCAGTAGAAGTCTCCCAAACCATCTTGCTGCCAAACAATTATTTTTAATTTGAAAATGCAGCCAGAAGACATACCAGAATGAATCTTGCATATCGCTCTATTTCAAGGGTTCATGGGAAACCGAGAGGGGCAAAGAGGAGAAAGGCTAATCTTGTCCCCAAATACCTTGTCAAGAGAATCACCCACCAATTTAGGATGCTCACTAAAGGAATGATGGGTAGGATGTTCTGGATACCTAACTGACCTTGTTCTGTCCTTGCTGTATTTCTAACAAAGCTGCCCCTATAAATAGCAGGTTGGGTCCAGGGAATCATTCAGCATATCAGAAAGAAGATGGGTTATGGTATAGAATAATAGACTGCTCTGCTCCCATTACTGCTAGCAGTCTTCAATATATTCCCAAGATAACAGTGAGCCCTCAAAGAGGTGATAACTTTCTGTTCCATTTTAGGGATGGGCATCTGAAAGAGGCAACCCCCCTCCCAGTCCCCTATTTGGGTAACTGAGCCAATAAACCTTTATCTCAGATCTAGCAGAAACAGATGGCTTTTCACTTGTACAAAAAATTGTTGGTATCCTGATTGCCCAATTCCATCATGAAATCAAGGTGCCATGGTGCCTAGCTCCCCCCCTCCACCTGCTCTGCTTTTCAAGAGAGTATCCAGAGGGTGGCTTTTCTATTTCCTTTGCTATTTCCTTGTTCCCTTCCTATGAAGGAAATACACCAAGGAAATTAAAGTAAGTATTGACAGAGGTATAGTTTTTTCCCATTTTCTCACTGAAAACAAAATAGCCCTTTCTTCCCTTCCTTATCCACCAAAGTCCCAGACAGGAGCCATGATGGTACTCACACAAACATCCAGAAAATCCGAGGGGTGAGGCTGTTAAGAGTGCAAGTGCCCACAAGCATTAAGGATGTGGCATTCTATCCTTCTGCACTGTCTGCTCTACGTTACACAGAATTGTGAAACAAGAGAATCCTACTCCCACCAAGCCTATACACATTATCGATATAATGATAACGTAGGTTTATCTCCAAAGCTTAAACACTGAAAACTGTGAGCATGATGAGATAATTGCACTTTGTTACTCAGTTTGCAACAAAATGTGAATGGAACTAATTTAATGAGGGATTAGGTACTGGGAGTTCTTCCAGGGAACATCAATGTATGTATGTATGTATGTATGTATGTATGTATGTATGTATGTATGTATGTATGTATGTATACACACACACACACACACACACACATATATATATATATATATATATAAAAACACTTTACTGGTCCTTTGCTGTGATAAAGAATTATAATAGTGCTATGAACAGTACCTAAACGATTACAAACCATCCCAACCTATGAACATTTTTGTTGTGACTTTAATTAAACGTTATTTCTCTCTTTTTCAAATTTAATGAAAAAAATCCAGCTGAGGTGAGGCAGATTTTCCATCAGCCATTTGTAAAAAAACAAAAAACAAAAACAAACTCTGGTGCCCAGTCTAGCTAGTAGCAACAGGTGCCTCCCTTGTTGATCTCCTCTGTTCCAGTAATGAAGGCCAGCAGACCCATTCAGTCAAGTGACATGCAGGGAAGAGAGGAGGAAGAACACCCGTTTGTTTATTGATGCAACTGCCAGAGTTGTCAAAGATAGTAGATACTGCAAGGGCATGAAAGAGGGAAGCGGCTAAGTTGTCTGTATCGATTCAGAGAGCAAGAACAAGGATTTCAATGCCAAGGGCGAAAAAAGATAATCGTTTTGTCTCCTACCCAGCCCTTCTAGCTCTGCTGAGGGAAATTAACAGCCTAGTCAGGTAAGGATAGATTCCTTATTTTGCTCTTGAATGTCTCACCTTTCACCTAAATGAATAATATACTTTGAGCTGTGTCATGTAGAAATATGGCTGGGTTATATGCTGTTATTCCCCACATTTTTTTCTTCTATATATCTATCCCACACATCCCAGTCTTCCTAAATGGAGGTTCGTGTTTTGATATGCGAAAGTTATTAAAAGAATCTATAATGAAAAGGTACTGCCAACTGGGACTACTTCCAGCTTTCTGGAAATGGTGGGAGTCAAGTCCAATTATAATTCTGCCAGCCTAGATGGCGTCAGTCAGTCAGTTTACTCTGCAGAAAAATATTAATAAAAAGGAATCGGTTACATGGCAAACAGCAGCTCTGGAGCAAAGTCTTGGGTAGGTAAATTTTATTCTTCAGGTTCTACAAGTTAGAATTCCCAGGTCACATTTAGTTTAACTTTCAGGTTTTGCTTAGTAAAGAGCAACTGAATCAATTGATCAAATCAATCACACCCCATTGGCTACAGTATTCACTGGCAGGAGTTATTTCTCCTAATCTGTCAATCTAGGTAAAGTTTTACATCCCTTTTCCCCTCGTGCTCTCCTCAGAAATTCAGTAACAAGTCACAACACAAGGATAATAAAAATAATTTGATTGAGTTTGTGAAGGTTAACGTCTACAAGTCCCATCGTGAGAGTGTGTGCATGCAAATTTATAAAAAGAACAGGGCTTTTCACAAAACAGCTTCTCTTAGATGGCAAGAAGAGTAGCATCTCTGGGTACTCATCCTCCCTGCCTCAGAGACTCTGATGGCAAATTGGGATAAAGGACCCAGCCATGTAGCAGATCCTTGGAGACAGTTCTTCATACTCTGTATTAGAGACCTTCAGTACCCGCCTAAAAGTTGTATTGCCTTCTGGTTTGGGAGGTGAGTAGTCTCAAGAAGCCCTCCCTTACCTCACAGGATCAGGAGGAGCACTTTTCCAAGCAGGAAAAGCCTAAATTGCTCCCATTTCTAATTTTTGAGCATGGATCACCCCAAGACCAGAACTAAACCCCATCACAGGCAAGACAAACTTACCACTTAGGGAAGTCTCTGCAGCTGGAGAGAAACTGGGCTTGTTTGTTTATTCTTCAGAGTTGAAGTGCAAGGGTGCTCCTAAAAGAGCTCGCCGGAGCAGACTGTCACTCCATCTGTCTCAGGCATGGGAATGAGACTTATTTTTCCCTTGGCTTGTAGGAAACGAGTGGGATAAAACCCTGTCTGTAATTTCAGCCAGTCAGATCCCGAGGGGTTCACTTATCATCCCGTAGTTATGTGATTTCAGGATGACATCACAGAAAAGGCTGAGTGACTGAAATGCAGAAGGAGTTTCTTCAGCTCCCAGCCACTCAAATACAGTCCTCTAGTCACCGAGAGAAAACAGGGGGGTGGGGTGGCGGTGGTTGAAAAGAGGCGGAGAAAAGAGGCAGAATGACAGTGGAGCAAGAGGGAAGGAGGGAGGGTGAAAAGAGAGCTTTAACCTAAGGGGAGGAGATCAGAGGCCCCGGCCAAATCATTCCTTTCCATTCCCTACTCGCCAAAACATTTCTCTTTCTTCCAGAGGGACCTCCCACAACCACCAGCAGCATTTTCCAGCTGCTAAACAAAAAAAGACTTAGGAGGGAATTTATTTCTTAAAAATGAATAAAAATAATAAGTCACATCCAGCTTAAAATATGACATTAAGGACAGCTGACTCCTCTAGCTAATCCGATGGATTTAGATCACCCAAGGAAAAAAAAAGTTCAAACACTTCTCCTAATTTCCTGGCACTGGTATTCGGTGTGATATTTGCCTCCTCCTTATCAAGCTTCTAGTGCATTCCCATGCACTAGATAAGGGGGATGCCAGCTTCCTCTAACAATGTGAACGCTTTAACTCGTATATGTAACTTACAAGTCCAGAGTGTAATTCTTTATCAAGTGCCTACAGGAGAGAGCAGTACTTCTGTGGAGTTTAAAACTTGCTTTTCAAAAACTTGAACCTTGGATCCTACTGACTGACAGAGCTATTTGATGCTTCTGTTAATAGCCAGCTGCAAAACAAGGAAGTCTTTAGGATTTGGGTTAAAAAAAAAATTCTAGCAAACTCAATATTTAGTTTGCATTTGAAGTATTCTTGAAGTGAAAGACAACATTTCTGCAGTATAACAAGGAAAAGAAACTGTCTCTTTTGGACCTAAAATTCAATAGTGCCAAAAATTATCCAGAAACATGGGGCCAATCCACAGCATGAGCCGCTATGCTCAATTCTACTTCAACTATTCATTCAACTATTCATTTTTCACAGATCATCCCAAAGGATCAGAAATCTCTTGAGAGGGCAAGAACATTGAGATTATTTCGTTTAAAGCCTTCCCATCAAGTTGTGAATCAGCTCATTCCTAGATTTTGTATTGATTTGCATTCCACTGCATTGTCAATTCGAATGCACATTAATGGCAACCAAAACATGACCAAAGGGATGTTGTTGTGCCAGTCTTGCCCAGCATGGTATCCTACAGATACCTTGAAACTATAATACCAAAATTCTAACTAGAGCAGGGGTGGGCAGCTATGGCCCCTTTATGATCTGTGGACTTCAACTCCCAGAATTCCTGAGCCAGCCAAGAATTTTGGGAGTCGAAATCCACAGGTCGTAAAGGGGCCATGTTGCCCCCCCCTGAGCTAGTGCACCAGTCTGGAAAAGGCATGTCCGGACTAACTGCTATAAGAAAGCAAGCAGTCACTGAAGTTGTAAAGCCAGTGCTAAAATGCCTCAATAATAATGACTCCTTGAAGTCTTCCTCTCACTATTTCTTTGTGCAACTTCTAAAATTTAACACAACTAATGAAAAATGTTCAGAATAGATAGAATGGGGAAACTTCTTAAAGTTCCAAGAGAGGAATTATTGAGAAACCTAAATTATCTCTACATCATTATAAGTCTGAGAAGATGCACAATTCATAGACATGGTTTCCCCCATCCTAGGAGATCTTAGCATAACTCCAGATTGGATGCCATTTTCAGAGAAGACATATTTGTGGTTTTTCCTCATAACGCATTACTTTGGGAACTGGGCTGTATATTTTTCCTCAGGCTTCTGCATTGCGGCAATCTAGAATTTTCCCTGCCAGCCTCCAATCCTGCACCTTGACATCTTAAACCCCAGAGGAGGGTGTCCATGCCAACAAAAGGAGATGTAAACCAAGAAGGTAGATTCCTCTTCGTTTAGTCATCTGCTGAAAGGCAAGGAGACAGCTCCCATCTCTCTATAGGCAAGAACAAGGGGGAGAGAGGCAGAAAGAGTAAAGGAGTCAAATATAAAGATGGAAACAAAGCCCTTGCTAATGGGAGTTTCATATGGATTGTTGATAGCTTTAGCAGGCGAGGCAGACCAAAGCCACTACAGTACTCAGAAAGATTAGCAGCCAACCACTCTCTCTCCTGCGCCTTCTGCTTTTTTGTGGTCTGAAAGTATATTGACTCTTGTGGTCTTTTTACTATGAGATTATTGGCTCTTGTGTCCGCATGAGACAGATTTCTGTTTTGTCTCTCCTCTTTCTGGCAGACGCTGGAAGATGAACAGAGTTCCTCCCACTTCGTCTATATGATAGCAATCAAGGACTATTGTAGGAACACCAAATAGTCTTGTCATAAAATTCTTAAGTGAACAAAAACCTTCTACTCATTATGACGGACACGAACAATACTAATAATAACAATAAAAAATGCAGGTACTGTGCAAAGAAGTAATGGCTGCACAAGAAAGATAGTTTATTAAACTTCAATCTACATTCAACTTCTTTGTGTTGAAGGATAAAAATTGTCCCAAGCCTATTAGTTATCTATATTTATATTTGTTGTTTTTAAACTGCCCATCTCCCTCAAAGAGGGGCTCTATTATTTCCAAGAAGAAAATATTCCATTGATTAGAACTTTTCTGAATGGTAGAGCTTACCATTCCTTGCAAACTACTGTTCGGGAGTGTACAAAATTTCATTTAAGTGTTTGCATTTGCGTGCATCACTGTACAATTTTCTATTCTCTAAATTCTATCAAGGAATGTTTTAATCTTCTGCATCAGTGAACTTTGCACTATTCACACCAGTGTTTCAGTATTTGCCAGTCCATATGCAGAGTTGTTCAATAATTTAGAAAAATATCAGACTATCACCACTACATGTGCTCTTACTGGTAAAGGTTAAATTAAAAGCAATTTCATTATTCAGAAAGGCAGTTATACAGCCAATAGAATTAGAATCAGAAAGCACACCCATCCATTATTTTTATTAAGGCTCACAAACTATGCTTGCAGTACATTTACCTCTAAACTAGTGGGTTCACTAGAGTTCATACATAATAACATTGAGCCAATATATTGTCACTTTATGAGGATATCATAAAACACAGATTATAGATTATAAAAAGCAAGTATAGCTGTTTACAATATCTTGCAACTGAATTTTCTGAGAAAGAGACCAAGGAAGATATGTGAGGTTGCCCATAAAGAACTAGGAATTATGGGAACTGAAGTCCAACACATCAAAGGGCTCCCAGGTTGAGAAAGTCCAAATTATGGAATGGAATTCAGAGCACATCATACATACATGATACTAAATATAATATATTAAAATCACGCCCATCTCCCTGCAACCTTTCTAGAACGGTTGCGAATATTTGGGGAATAAAATGAGGGTAGCGTGCATAAAAAATTCAAAAGAAGAAAAAAGAGAAGAGAATTAATTAATTAATTAATCATGCCTGGAATGAACAAGCTTTCTTCAAACCAAATTAGATAAAGCTGTAGTGAATGAACACTAGTCTGAAGTCACTTTGCAAAGTGCATTAGAATTACAATTACTGTAGATAATGGAGGACTGCAGGTAAATGCCCTCTGATGAATTAAAAGAACAACAATTCCAGCCATTTCAAAATCCTTCACTGAACATTTAGAGAATTATAATACCACTGGAGCAATAGTGCAT